AAAAAAAGAGAGAGGCAAGGCGACGTTATCGTTGTAACAATTGATGAGTTTCGAACGTCAAAGGTAAAGCGTTATTCTCTAATTTTGAATATCCTACTTAACTATCTATAGATCTGCAACTCTTGTGAAAATATGGCGTTCATATCTGCTTTTGTAAACTTCCACGGCATCCAATCCTGCACAGGATGTGGATTGCTTTGGCAACGGGATATTAACGCTTCAAAAAATATTTTCAAGATCGCCAATGGCATCCTTCGTGGATGTGGCAGAGCTCAAGCATTTTGTCGCCGTATCGAACACGGTTCTCCTTCTGGAGTTTAGACATTTACTCCTAGTATAGAAGCAACTCTTTTTTCCCTTTTTTGTTAAAACGCACCTTTTTACTTTCCGACCTTCAATTTCTTTCTGATCTTCATTTCTTCTGTGACTCATTCTGCAATGAACTTTAACAATCAATCCACAAACACTTATGTCACTGGCGTAGGAAGAGGATCCAGAGGTGATTTTCTCAACCCTAACAAGACATTTATTCCTGGAAGAGGGCGCGGTCGTGGAGGAGAGTTTCATGGGCGTGGCGAATTCCATGGAAATTTCAATAACAGATCACATAACAGTAATAGATCTTTTAATAACAACAATTTTAACAATCAAAAGCCATTCGATCGCAATTTACCTGCCAACTTTGACCGGCGCCTGGACAGCAGCTTAAGAGAGATGAGCAATGCAGCCCCCAAGAACAACTTCAAAAATACCAAGCACAACAAGAACATGTACAACCCTAACTATCAAAGACAATTTAACCAAAAGCATACAGAGAAAAACAACACTTTTATTCCTCAGCAAAGCTTAAACAACAATGCATTAACAGCCGACAGCAACAATGCTAACAGAAATGTAAGCATACCACCAGTCGCAAATGCCTCTCTTGAAGTTAAAGAAGAACGTTCCTCTTTCCAAAATACCAGCAAGGGCAAAGGACCCTCTCCATTCCCACCAAAGCCTACTGGAATGCCCCAATCCTGGAACAAAGCGCCCAAGAACAACACCCCTTTACCATGGAACAGAACACCTAGGAATGATGTGCTACCGCAAGTAAATACAAATGTCTATTGTATACATCAAACTACTTTCTTATACATCCCTTCATTTAAATAGAGAAACAATACCCCAATGAAGCAAGCAACCCCTGCAGACAGCGCTACTCGTGAAATAACAGCTGCTGATAGAGCTGCTCGTTTCAGCAGTACTTCAAAGAGCGAACTCTACACACAGGCAAGTGTCTTCAGTTTTTATAAAGCCTAATTCTTTTTGTTAACACCTTTATAGATGAAACAAGAACGTGTTCAAGAAAGAGCTCAGGCGATCAAGGATGGCCTTTTACCTGATCCTAATGTCCCACGTCGTCTAGAAGACGCTATTGACTTCGTTGGCACCTGCCAAACAAAATGCCCAGAGTTTGAAATAGTTGAAAGAAATCTTCAAAATGGTCTTGACAAGCTCGAACTTGATGAATATGGTAATGTTGATCGCGACAGAGTAGTTAAAGCCTACAGAAGATCTGCAGCAGGAAACGATCAGCCACTTCCAAGTGATGTGAGATGTCCTGAGGCATTAGTTGTAAGTAGATATAACAATACTATTCCTGACTTAATACTCATGCCCTTTATAGTCTACACTTGACTACCTAATTGATGAGATATTGTCAAAGAATCCTCTAGAAAAATGTCATGCTTTCATTCGCGACCGCACAAGGTCAATTCGTCAAGACTTTACCTTGCAAAACATCCGCAATGAAGTCGCTGTTGAAGTCCATGAGCGCATTGCCAGATTTCATATCCTGTGTTTGCATGAGATGCGTGGCCTGGATGAAAGCAAGTTTAGTGAGCAGCAAGAAGTAGAACAACTCCGAAAAGGTAAACTGATTTGCTTTATTCTCTCTGTAATTGTTCACTCATCAAACATATCTATTTAGTTTTGTTAAGTCTTATGGAGTTCTATGAAGATTTACGTGAAGAAGACATCGAAACGCCCAATGAAGCAGAATTCCGAGCCTACTATATCTTGACTCACATCAGAGACAAAGATATTGGAAGACAAATGATGGCTCAACCAATGCATATCTTTGATCACTCGTATGTACAAAGAGCGCTGAAATTCCATGCTTTTGCCCAACGAAGCAATGAAATCATGGAGACATCATCAAGAAGAAACAAGCCAGAAAATGCCTTTGGTAGCCAAAATAACTATCAAGCTTTGTTCAACTTAATCACAGACCCGCAAACGCCTTTCCTCATGGCATGTTTACTAGAATCGCATTTCCCAGAGATACGTAAAGGCGCCTTGAAGGCTATGAATGTCTCTTATATGCTAAGAGCCGGTGGTGTTGAAGCTGAACATGTCCAGCAAGCATTGGGCTATGATACCTTGAAGCAATGCATACAGGAAGCTTTACATTATGGCATGCAAGTTGATATGTCCCAGGGACAACCTACAATTATTTTTGGGCAAAAGCATCCTCAAACTAAAACGCCTATCTTCTTGGAGCCTCTATCATACCCACCACAACAAAAGTCTATGACGCTAGTTGAGCCAAAGAAGGAAGGCAAGACGTTCGCTGACATTGTAAATGGACCTAAAAATGCTGATATTCCTGACACAATTCCTATTCCAGCCACTACCGCTCCCTTGTATTATGATCAAGAAGATGAGATGGCTGTTTTCCATCATGATTCCATTCATCCCACTGCTAACGATATGGAGATGAATGATGCAGAAGTTGCTACACAAATGGAAGAGGATGACAGCATGCATTATAATGCAAACATTCAAGATTTGTCAAATGAGCCCGTGATTTACACTTCCAATGCTAAAATGCAGCTTGGCAAAAAGCGCAAAAGTGAATCAGAGGCTTCTGAAGATCTCGTAGCTGCAAGAAAGAAAAAAATGGAAATGCTGATAGAGGTCAAGCGAAAGGCGGACGAAGCCGAAGCAATGGCAGCAGCTGAACGAAGAAAATTAGAAGCTTTGATGGAACAAAAGAAAAGAGAGGTCATAGAGAAAGAGAAGATACGTCTTCAAGAAGAAGCTGCCGAAAGAGAAAGACTTGCCGCAGAGAAGCTTGCCCAAGAAAAGCTTCGACAAGAAGCTGAGGAACGTGAACGGGCACGACTGGCAGAATTGGCAGAACTGGAGGCCGAAAGGTTGAGGTTGCTGGAATTGCAGCGACAGAAGGAAGAAGAAATAAGGCAAAGACGGAAGGAAGCAAAGAAAAAATTAGTAGTCATGATTGCTGAGGACTGTGTCAAGGTTGCTATCAGGGAGGCAGTACGAAAGGAAACAAATAAGATAGTTAAGTTGAGAACCATGCTGAAGAAAAGAACAAGACCATGGATGGATAAAATGCGAAGAAAGGTTGCCGAAAAAGAAAAGAAAGCCGGTCTTTTGAAAAGCAAGCAACTATTCTATAGCAAGATTTTTTCAAGCAACCCTTACTACTCGCTTATCGATGTAACCTCGATGGATTTTGAATACAGTAATGAGAACATCGCTAAAAGAGTAAAGCAATGCGTTGTGGCGGATAAGGTTATTGAAGAATGCGAAGACGCAAACTCTTCACCAGAAGCCATCTGGGGAACAGAAGACTTTGGACTGAACATATACGGCCGTACCTGGACCAAAGTGGACGATTTCTTACGAAAGCATCCAAATTTCAATCAGAAGATCAACTGGCAACTTGTGATCAGCGTTGAAGATACTAACTTGGAGTCTTCAGCATGGTATCAAAGAAAGTTTGGACTTGACGGCGACTTTCTGAGAAAAACAATCAACTATTCTCATCATGATGTTACGCTGCGAATGGTTTCACCCAGGATGGATCCCATAAGCAGAATTGTCGCTAGCGAAATGGGCGGCCTTATCTTTGCTCTTCCTGAAGCTAATTGGAATAACTCTGAAGAAGACACGGAGTCATACTGGAGCGCGTGTGCGGCAAGGCTTGAAGCAGTTGTGAAGCAAATCGAAGAGCACAACCCAACAGCCAGATTCCCCATACTGATATGTTATTTTCCTGTCGGCGAAGATGCGGCAGCTACGTTGCAAAGAATACCCTTGGCTTTGGGCCTTGAGCGATATCATGCGATCACAGACTATAGATTCTTAATAATGAAGCCTGATACCATTGCAAAACGAATAGTTGAGGAGGTTAACTGGGTTGCAAGATCTTCGCAGATTAACCAACCAGTTTAACTTATAAAGTAATAAATAAAGTTCTTTGTTTATGAATAAATACAATCATGTTAAATAATGCATTGCTTATTAGTTATTTACTAATTTTATGTAATATTCTCTTTTTTGTCACTGCAACACTTTGAAATAATATTGTGATCCTTGTAAAACTTGAACCCTGGCAAGGTTTCTTTTACTATCTCGTGTTTAGTCTAAAATAGCAAATGGGGTTTAGGGGTCTGTCTAATAACTATGACATCAAAAATGGCTTACAGCGACAAAGCCAGCTTTACCTATACTTTTTACTTATTCTCCAATTACCAACATTAATGAAGCGCAAAAGTTTTAAACTCCTTGGGAACAAAAAGTAGAGAAAAAGGTAAAATGAAAAAAGAGTTAAAGTAAACCAAAAAGTTAATGAAAAATATAGAGCATAAAAAGAAAACAATCATCTTGAGAGATCATTTCCTGTCATGCTAAGGTTGATCTGTCTCCTAAAGTACGGAATAAATAACCGGTCAATGAACGCCCCAAGCATCAACGAACCTTCAGGAAACTCAGGGTTTTCTGAAGTAGGAAAGAACAAGAGGGATTAAAAGGGGTAAGCCTAATAATTGATGCAACTAGAGGCATGCGTCAATTGATTTCAATTCTTTTGCAAGTGAAGTTTGGTTGATGAAATTTAAAAATGGAAATAATTACAAGTCTTTTACCAATTATATCACATGCTCATTAATGAATAGCAAGTACAGAATACCATGATATGTGAAAGCTGCCTTTTATTGCCTCTCCCAATGGTGAATATGTTTCCATGGTAATCCACTCCTGGAATGGTTAGCACCACTTTACATTTAAACTAAATGTGTAGAATGGATGAATGAAACATTGTTACACACATCACGAGAAAGTTTAAAAGGAAAAGACTTAAAATGGCAATTGATGCAGTTTCTGAGTGACATCCAGTTTGATTTTGTGGTTCCTCAATCAGAGACAAAGCAATAGAGATTTTTTTTTTCCAGTAAAAAGGAAGAGTAGATATTGATCAACAGAGAATTACAATGAAAAGTTGTACGAAATAAAATGGTAACTAAGATGATCCTGGGCCATTCATCTTGGTTAAGGTTACTTTAAGTATTTCGTAATTTTATAATAGAACAGTAATTGCTATTCTCTGTCATACCACAAATTCATCTCCTCTTTACTCTCTTGCTTAAAGACAATAAAAAAGCACAAGTTTCATTTTTATTTTTTTTTCTTCTCTTTTTTTATCATCATATCCAACATTTATATTTCATATCTTGATGAGCACTTTACCTTTGCCTCCAAGAATCATAGCAAGAGTTCGAGCAGTCTACCCTTATTATTCCGAAGAGAAAAGTTCACTAAGCTTCAAAAAGGGCGACTATATTGATGTATTAGCAAAGCTCGATTCAGGCTGGTGGGATGGAGTGTAGGATGATGATCGACTGTAAAGAAGGAATCAACTGATTTTATTTCAATATAGATGTAATGGAGAAAGAGGCTGGTTTCCTAGCAACTATGTTGAACTAGTCAAAGAAGATATGGGCATGCTCTCCAGGCCACCGGATAAGGGACTACCACCAAGACCAATCAACGGTAACCGTGCTTCATCTATTTACAGCAGTTCAGCAGGCTCAGAAGTAAGTCGAAACAATGCTAATCTACCAGATGGCTGGACCATTCAGATGACTGAAGACGGAAGAGCATGGTATTACTATAACGAGCATACTGGAAAAATTACACACCAACATCCCCTGCTGGAACAGGATTCAGAAACCATCATTGAGAAAAAGGATCAAAGGATAGATCACAGAGACAGTATTTTTTATCCCAGCCAGCCTATTGAAGAAGACATTGATGAACACGCCAATGATGATGACACTGGTCCTTCAGCACAGGAGGTAAATCCTTGAAGGAAATACTAGATCAATCTATGTTCTAACACAATTTGCCTAGTTGATGGACAGCTGGGTAGAACGAAAGACACCACAGGGAAGAGTTTATTTTTGTAACTTGCTTACACAGGAAACAACCTGGGATTATGACGAGATCGACCCTGAAACCGGTCGCTTGGTAATTAGAGTTATCTGTTCATAGAATTTGTACACTCACATTCTATATGTGTAACCCGTAGAAAAAGACAGAAGAAGAAGAAACGTCGACCAACGAGGAAGACGATAAGGATGATGTACACAGCACTTACCGAGATGCAGTACAAGAGCAATCCCCAGTGAAAGAGCTGACCTGGAACAAACTGGCCATGGACATTGCCTTTAATATTCACGAGTTAACAACTGCAGCTCAAAAGGGACAACGAGAAGATATACAGACAAAAACTTCAGTTATAGTAGAGTCGATTCGACTCATGCTGTACGCATCTCGCGCATTGGATAAAGATTCTCATCTCTTACAAGATCCTGCTTTCAAAGACCCACGCCGACTCGTCATGTCTTCTCTGTCGAAGCTTGTGCTCAATTCTAGACTGAGCACAGAACTATCTGATCCACAAACGACTGCAGTTATGCTTGAAAAGATACAAAAAGATGCAAATGATGTGCTTGTGGCTGTCAGAAACTTTGTTACTATATGCCAACAGCGTGGTGTGAACATCAATAATGTTAACCCAAGGCTGTTGAAGGATACCTCACAGTTACCCTTTGACGTATTTTCTTTTGATAATCAAAAGAATAGTCCAACAGCCGCTAGTATTGCTAACGACCTATCTAATATAAACTTGAATTCTGATAAAAAGCGCAAAGGCAGTAAACAATCAGCTGAACAAAACAGCTCTTTACAGCAAAAGACAAGATATTTATTAAATCAAGACCTGGTTGTCAGTTTGCAAGTCTATTCTCATCAAATTTATACATCAGCAGAGGAACTATCAGCAAACGCACATAACATTCTCACAGAATACAATAAGGACAGAAACTTAAAATGTATGGATAAAAGAGCTTCTTCAGTTTCATTATTTAAGGCATTATCCACTCAAATCGGCCAATACATTGCTATTCTTGACGACATCAATCTGGACAACATTGACAATAACCAGATTCCTTCTATCGTCGCCTACCGTGCCAGTCGCCAAAGCATATATAGTGCAATTGGTCATCTGTTCGGTGCTGTTCAGACACTGACGGACGCAGAAACTAATATACCCGATGCTGTCGACTTGATCAACCAGGCAGTGATCGATATAGAAAATGTTATAGAAACTGTCGAGCAAAGTGTGATTGCCATGGTGAATGAGAGAAAACGCAACATGGGAGCCAGTCGCGAAGAACATCTCACGTTATCACCTACAACTTCTACTTCAGCCAGTGGCATACGTCGCTCTCCTAGTCGTACATCATTCTCAGATAGCATCATAGATCATCACAGTGACATTGGTACGTTTATGACAAACACAAGCTCAAAGAGTCAAGAGGGCGTCTCGGAAAGCGACTTTAGTGATTTTGGTTTGCCTCCAGATGATGTTAAGACGCTTAATTTTCGTCGCCCTACCCTTGGCATGACAGGAATCTCTGATATTGTCAACCGCCGAAGACAGCAAAGTATTAGGCCTGATGATCGAGCAGGAGACCTTGCTGATACCTTGGGCTACGATCATCAACCTGATGAGATTGAGATTGGATCTGATGGCTCTATCAAGGGGGGAACCTTATCTGCGTTAGTTGAGCGATTAACTGTGCATAATACTTTGGGTAATGGCAAAACTATACCCTTTCCCAAAGTAAAATCTCACTCCTTTTTTTGTAGATACAAACTTCATTGCTACTTTCTTACTTACATATCGGTCATTTTGCACAACTGAAGAATTCGTCACTCTATTAGAGAGTCGCTACAACTTGCGCCCGCCTGAGCGATTAACACCTGAACAATTAGCGTTATGGACTGAACGTAAACAGAAGCTAGTCCGTCTTCGGTAAATGATTTACTTGAGAGTTTTACATATGCTCATATTCTATAGAGTATTCAATGTTATGAAGAACTGGTTAGAAAACTATTATATTGATGAAGACGAATATTTGCTTGGTCGTTTCGAACACTTTACCAAGTCATACATTAGAGATTCTTCAGAATTTGCTGCTAATCAATTGCTCAAATTAATCAAAAAGCGCATAGAGTCCCGTGGAGAGATTAAAAAGATTATTCGAAACGAGGTTGAAGGTCCTGCCCCCATACGTCCAAAGAATATGTCAAATATTACACTCCTTGACACAGAACCACTTGAAATGGCCAGACAGTTAAGTATCATGGATTTCAAACTGTATAGTAGCATTAGACCTATTGAATGTCTCGGTAAGGCTTGGTCAAGAGATGGCGATCATGGATTAGTGGCTGTGAACATCAAGCAGTCTATTAAATACTGTAATCGTTTAACCTCTTGGGTCACCGAGAGTATATTGGCTCATGAAGATCCTAAGAAGCGAGCCACTGTTATTAAATATTGGGTGCAAGTTGCTGATGTAAGTCATTCAACATCTTTTATGCCTAATACTAAATCAATACTATATAGCATTGTAAGATGCTGAACAATTTTAATACGTGTATGGCCATTCTATCCGCATTTGACAATAGTGCCATTGGTCGATTGAAGAAGACGTGGATGGTAGATATCATAAAATAGGAATTATATTTTATACTAAACATCTCTTGTTGCAATAGGCGTGTAATAGAACCACAACTCAAACACTTGCTTCTATTCGTAAACTCATGGGGGCCAATCGTAACTTTGTGGAGTATCGTGAAAACATTCATTCTGTTAGCCCACCATGCATTCCTTTTTTGGGTATTTACCTTCAAGACTTGACATTCATTGAAGACGGAAACCCAGATTATCTCCGTAAATCAAATAATCTTATCAACTTTGCAAAGCGACAAAAGGTCGCCGAAGTCATTCGTGAACTCAAACAATTCCAATCCTTTGCTTACAATTTCCAGACACTCCAAGAGTTACAGGATTTTATTCAGGCTCAATTGAACTGTGAGCATGATGTTGAAAAACTATATGAACGAAGCTTACAACTTGAACCAAGAGCATCTGAAACTCCCAACAGTATTTATCTCGCTGGAAATGTCATGTAGAAAATGAATATGAATTATGTAATAATAATAATAATAATAAAGTATATTGGACTCAAATTTAAAATGATGATCCAAGTATTCCTCCCTTAGGTGACAGCAAGATAATACAAAGCTGTCATTACGTTTCAACAGAACCACGAAAGAACAGCTTTCTCTAATATGCTGAAACTGATTGTTTAGATATCTACTATCGTTTCATTATGGAAGTTATTTCTTCATGGGTTTACATCATACTTGTATGAAATCCCTTTACTGCCCTCGGTCATTAGTCAAAAAGTTAATTTGAGTCAAAGAAAAAAAAAAACAAAAAAAAAACAGCGATGATAGGTCTACATTCTTTTCATCTTTCTTTTATCCATTCACTCATTTACATTATGAACCATCAAGAGAATTCAAGTCAACGTCAACCATCATCTGCTGAAGAACTAGATTTACTAGCGCCCGAATCAACTTTTGAATCAATTAATCGTTCCGAAACTGAAAACGAATGGGTTGATATCATTCAAGCTGGTGATGAAATAAGCACAGAGTTACGTACGATAGGTGATGATGACTTACAAGAACCTGATTGGGGCTATGAAGAAGATCAACAAAGAGTGGATACAATTGTTAATACCATTTCGGATAGTATAACGCATGACTCTAACAATGATCAAAGTAAAGGTAAATTTAAAAAGAATGCACAATAGTCTTGCAAGTAATGGTGAGGCTTATTTGGCGTCTCCCTCAGCAAGTTACAGTCAATACAACTAGTATTAATAATAACTTCCGATTTTTTTTTAAAAAAAAGACATGTGTCTTGGATCAACAATTCAACAATCATTACCCGGAGCATTTCATAGTGCTGAAGACAACTTATGCATAATCATGTTCCACAAGAATACGAAAAGTAAAGTGGAATACTCTTCTCTTGATGTAGTCATCTTTCTTCTCGCAGCGATTATCAATGCTTTATAAACAATAAAGTGCCAATTCCTTTCTTTTTTTTTCTTTTTATTCAAGGGCGCAGGATGATATAATAAAAGTACAAGGAGATTACAATCTGTTGATGATTTCTTGTAATTCTTCCTCGGTATAGATTCTAAAACTTTGTTCGGGTGTAACTGATGCAATTTGAACATTCGTCTTGTTTAATTTCTCTTCCATGACTGATTTTAAAACGCTTAATGCAAGAGTCTCTGCTTCTTGCAATGTCATTGATCTATGATATTCCTTTTGAAGCTCTGTTTGAGCACCTTCAGATCCAGATCCTATAGCCTTTGCTTGATATTTCATAAATGTGCCTGAAGGGTCAGCATGGAAACTAGATCGTTTGTTAGTTGTATGTTATTGTGTAATCAGTAGCACTCACAGCTGAGGTCCATTTTCATCAACACCAGCAATAAGCAATGCAACACCAAAAGGACGACTCTGAATGAATAATAAGCCTTCATTCTTATTTGCCATCTTTTTTGTTTTTTCCCTTACCATGATTGATTCTTCACCTTCAGCACCTTCACCAAATCTCAATGCTAAATCACAAACACTTTGAGTGACGCTTTCAACCTTTAGCTTTTCATCATATGTAAAACGATGGTTCTGCAGACAAAAGTTGTCAGTTTAGTTCACTTGTTCAATTCTTTTCTCTTCCTACCTGAGCTGCAACACGCGCATGTTCAATCATTGTTCTTGCATCAGCTGTCATTCCACTAACAGCACAGCCTAAATGCTCATCAATTTCCATAACTTTTTCAATTGAACTAGGTTCCAATAATGTAGAAGATACACGCTTTTCTACAGCCAAGATAACGCCTTGAGAAGTTTGAACACCAATAGCAGTTGTACCAAGCTATTTGTATATAAGAAACCCTTCTTCTGCATCTACATTCTAAAGACTTACTTTAATGGCTTCAATTGCATATTCTACTTGGAAAAGACGACCTTCAGGTGAAAAGGTATTTACACCACGATCATATTCAGAGCGAGTTAAGAACATTTTTATAAAGAAGTATGAGAAAAAAAAAGAGAGAGAGAAAAAGGGACGCGCAGATTGTGTACGTGTACATTAGAAGGTCATGACGGCATCAAGCCAGTCACATTTAAAGCGGGTTATTTATTTTTGAAAGGCACACAGCACACTCTATGTTAATCATCTACGTACTTTACACATTTTTTATATCTATATTTTATCAATCTATGGATTGATGGTGTGCTTATATGTAGTATATCTAATCAAGATCTATTTTTTATACACAACTTGACATCTATCAATAAAAGCTTTCAGTGTCATTTTTGACACCTGGTCAAAGAACATGGACGAGGCTTGAGCATGAATAGGTGATGTAAAATCAAATGAGATACTAAAATCGACCCAACATGTTGGATGATCAGCCGCTTCAGGGGTATTCAGTTTTGTGCTGGGCACATTGGGTGTAAATTTCCATGTGGTTATCATATCATTAAATAATGTACCATCCGCAGCTACTGCCTATAAGTGAAAATTAGGAGGGATTTACTGTTTCTTTTGTCTATTGTACCTTGACCAAATTGGGTCTCTCACATGTCACCCTGGACATGTATTTTTCTTTAAACAATTTGAAGCCAACCCCTAATTCAGCTTTCAACAGAAACTTGTTGTCACTGATTTTAGTATTCGTGTATACATGAGAATGAGTGCAGAATGGGACAAAGAGATGATAGTCTTCTACATTGGCGACAACATTATAAAGTTGGTTCTGCGAAAAGCTAATTGAGCATTTTGTATAGATCGACTTGAGATCGGCTTGGCCAAAGTAGTGTATGCTTATTTGCTACTTACTTTAGTAGCTTTCTTTCAGAGTAATGCTTCCCTGTGCTCAATAGGTTTGGTAAGCTAAACAGGTGTCGACGCTGTTGCTTTACCACAGAAATCACAGTCATTTATACAACAAAAAAGACTAATTTATTTATAAAAATAATAAAATAAAATAAATTCAAAGCCTGTGGGCGCGGAGTCCGCAGACAAAAAAAAAATGTGGGCAAGGAAGAAAATGGTGTAAAAAAGAAAAGATATGGTCGAGGTGAAATGAAAGCAAAAATCAGCGAGAGACTAGTCGCACTGAAGACAAGACCCACAAGAGCCACAAGAGGAAAGGGAGCCAGTGTCGAAAGAGCCAAGGTATTGTTCAGAGTGAAGAGAGTGACAAATGCGTTCCAGCTCCAGAAGGATGAGAGAGAGAAAGCGTGGGCCACCATTGCTGCCATGTTTCAAAGGTATAAGGAGATTTCGGCGGCCGTTTGGGGATCTTGTTCAGGCAGTACGAGAGTGGATCATCAATCGTGCGAGGAAGCTGTGAGCAATCATGCATATCTAGGCAGTGAATAGCATGAGCTCTCGTAAAGTGGTCATATCCACAAGTACAGGATTGGGGTTTACCGTCAGGGGGCCTCTTCCTCGTGTACAGTTGAGCATTGAAACCCAAAGTAGCGGATCAATATCAATAGTGACGCGGGAGTGCCGGGGCGAGGAATATGCCTGCCTTCGTTCTTGTAGATTGGTGCGGTATACAATAAAGAAAAATTAGGGTGGTGGTTGCGGCTGTGTAAATTTGTACAACTGATCATTTCCATAAATAGATTTTTTTTTTTGTTTCTCGCTCTCTTTTTACTATTTCTCTCTCTTTTTCTCTTTCTCTTCTTTAAAGACAAAGAAACTTTAGCAAATGACAGACTTATTCAAGTCTAATGAAAATGAGTTTTATATTGAACTAAAGCAAGAGAGATACTATTTTCCTGGCGATGATATATCTGGTAAACAATCATCCTTTTATTATTATTATTATTATTATTATTGCACGAGTATCAATGATTGTTAAAATAGGCGACATCGTATTGGACTTGAAGAAGCCAACGAAGACAAATAATATCAAAGTGAGTTTGGAAGGCTGTGCTGAAATTGGTGGAAAGTCAACTACAATTTATTCAAAATCATTGTATGTTGCTGAACCACCAGCAGGAGAGAAATCATATTATCTCGAGGCCCATACACATCGATTTCCATTCAAAATGAATATTCCATCATCCTCAGAGCTTAAATTGCCCAGCACCTTGGAGGTAAATGTATCTAATGACCAGATATGATAAAAACCATACTTATTCTTGGTTTAGATTCCAAAACTATTAAAAATTAGTTACAGACTGATAGCCGTGCATAATAGACCTTATGTCATTGTCGAAAAGTTTTGTTCGATGGCTACAGAAACTGTGACGATTTTGGAAGATATTAATGTTGAGGCTGATGACCTAAAAGGAGAGCATACTCAGATAAGGGAGCTCGTCTTGACAGGAGAAACCAGAAAAGTAAAGGTGGCTGTTAGTCTTGGTAAGCGCGCTGCTGTAAAAGGTATGTTTGAAATACAATAAAAAGATAATACTCTATTGACATATTTTATATGGAAGGTGATATTATTCCTATAACGGTAACCATTCATCATATTGGTGTCATGGTTAGAAGCAAGGCAATAAAGATACAGCTCATGCGTTATGTTTACTATGGAAAGAACAAGTAGGTTAAATTAGCTTTATGCATGTGGAAACTGACATAATGATGTATCAGAAATGAAGTGTTTGGACCCAAAATTATATCAGAAACAACTTCCAATATTGAAATCTCTGGACCTACTAGCTTTACCAAATCATTTAATCTAAAATTACCTATTCCTGCAGCATCCTCCTGCCCTACGGTTGATATTTCTTGTAACGTATTCAAAATTGAGTATGTTATCCGAGCCAGTGTTAATCTGAACGAAGAAAATCCTCTTCGACGGGAAGAGCCGAGTGATATAGCATCTTTCAACATTCCATTTATTATTGGCACTTATCCAAAACTCTCATTCAGTATTGACGACGATGAAGAAGAGGAGTCAGAAAGCATAGATCAGAACACAGTCGATACAGATTCTACAAACCCATCCGAGTATGATCAAGTGTTTGAAAAGATGAAGGAAATAGACTTGAATTCAATACCAACGACGCCTGTATCAGTGAAGCAAGATACGCCACCACTCATTTATCAGAAACCAGATGAAATTGATGTACCTGATATACAAACGCCCAAGAAAGGCTTTAAGGCCCTTACACCACTTTCTCGATTACAAGAAACGCCACCTGCTACCCCTACGACGGCCCTATCTACTAAATCGAATGGATTTAATGCACAATCCCCTACTCAAGATACGTTTAAGCAGCAATCTCCCCTCAGTACGCCTACTGTGCGCCATCAAGTTACTGTAGTATCACCACCCATGGAGAAACTACATGTGATTCAATCAGCATCACACAGTCCATCCCCTAGCACAAACACAAGCCCTCAGATGTCACAATCTAGCACATATAGCAGACACTCATCTGGAAGCATAGCGTCTGTACACAAACAAGAGAGCGCAGCGAGTATGAATGGCTTAGAGCGACAGGAATCGATGAGATGGGTCTTGCCTAATAAAGATACTGCTGTAACAGTGTCCCCTTCTATCTCTAACAGTAGCCAGCCAATAAATAGTCCTCCACCATTGCCTGCTCGACCATCAGCAAATGGTAATAATGGATCAATGCCTACTATAGCGAATAGTAAGCCACTTCCTGTGCCCACAAGCCCCGTACCTCCACCTTTACCGAGTAGACCAAGGCCTACTACCAATCTATCTAGTCCATCATCTCATAATCTACCTGTAAAGCACAACACGATTGGTTCACCTTACCACCATGTGAACCATCAACCCCTTCAGACATCATTGAGTCAACCTATACTGTCATATAGCCACCAACCGCAATCAAATGTGACTTATCCCCAACAGTATAATGGTAATACATTTGTCTCAATGCCAATTCCTACCATTCCTGATATGCAACTACAACAACAACAACCTCACAATGCTTACCATAATTACAGTCACAATTCTCCACAACAACCAAATCAGCCATACTATGCCAGCCATAGTAATACCACTGTTGACCATAGCAACCATTATCAAAACAACACAGCGTATGCACATAACAATAATAATGTACCATTCCCTCAACCACATGATCCTTTTGGGAATACTATTTATCAACAGCATAATCCTACGCATTATCAACCACCTCCATATTATACTTTGTAATAAATAAATTAGTAATCCAAGTATTAAGAAAAGAAAAGCAAAGGATACGGAAATATACGATTATGACTCAGAAATAACCCGTAAAAAGAGCAAAGGGTTCCGAAACGTTTAAGCGAAAAGAGAAAAAAAAGGAGTTGCTTATTACTGTTTTATTGAATATGATAAAAATGGTTTTCTTTAAAGTTCTACTTTTCTCTTCTTTTTTTTTTTGATGTAATAATATGAATAACATCACTATGTCCATATTTACAATCTCTTGCTGTTTGATCTCTCCCTTGCAAACAGTGGTTGGAAAATGGGACGATTTAGTTAATTAGAACACCGCAACAGACGTTTAAAAAAGGCAGAATAAATATTTCACTTCGCTTCTTTTTTTTTTCGTATTCAAAAAAAAGTAATCCATAATGAGAGTCGTTACAAGCACTGATCAAGAAAACGCTTCTAAATATGCCATGAAAGGATTTGCCATAGGCGCTGCTCAATGGGCTGGTGTCGGTCTCTTTGCTTCAGGATTGATGTATGCTTTCCTGCCTTGGTATCGCAGAACTCAGACAGTTAACAAAGTAATGTATACACCATAGAGTCCACAACATGTATACTAAAAAGTGTCTAGTTTTACATCGTCATGTGTTTTGGTCTTGGTGGAGGTGCTTATAAATCTGATAGATATATGGTAAACTATGAACGTAGAGGTCGAGCTCAAACTTTGGATGAAGAGACAAAGAAGAGATACGAATTGATTTATGGAGAAGCAGCTGAAGCACAAAATACTGCTTAAATCGTTATGTATAAATTATAATAGATGAAAACTACAATGCTTGTACAGTTGCCGTTATGGCATGGCTCTTGTAAAGTGCTGGGTTTCGTTATTATTATACCTTGTAAATTAAAGAAGTCATATTGTCTTCACTTTTATATATTACCTCACAAGCGCGTCATAACAGCCTGTTGAATTAGTCTTCTCCACTCTGTTTTATCATACTGTTACTGTCACGATACAACATACTGAGAGGGTATTGCTGGCAAAAGAGAACACATAGTTTCACAAAGCAGGAAAAGAGTAGAATATCCAAAAACAGAAACTCTTTTTCAGACTGTCCATGACCCTTAGAAAACTAGAGTCGGTTGCCTCGACTTGATTAATCGAATTTGCACTTATACTAGAGTTAAGGACTCAAAGGAAGTTTTTGACTCATTCAGTTGTATTCATATTTGAGGACTTTTTGCAATACGTCATGGTTCTTTCCACTTACCCTCAAAACCCTGCAATAGCTAGTACAGAATCTCTTTCAAGCTATTTGCTTATTGCTTTTGGCTGGATGGAATCTGAGCCCTTTCTTTTATAATTCATATAAGCCAAGAATAATGCTTGATTTCTCTTCAATTTATTGTTCACTACGCGAGTACTTTCAGTCTCTCTACACGATCTAACTCTGCGGTGGTGCATTCAATTCTATGCAGATCAGATGTGATATAAAACGTAATGATGCCAAGAAGGAAATACTAACTGTTGCCATAGGTGCGAAATAGAGTCAGCCTTAGGAGGATGTATCTGCTTTAATATGCTAACTATTCCGTTCTTGTTTGTTGCCGCATGTCGGATTGTAAATTACTAATGTTGTCAGCGTCTTGTTTAATAAAGAACCCCATCGATGCCTTTGTCTCTTTTTTCTCTCTCCTTTATCTTAGCTTTGATCTGATGAGTACACCGCTTCCAGAAAGAGATGCCGCGCTGACTTATCGCTTTTTCGTATAAATTGTATTATAAACACTGCAAAAATGCGACTTTACACTCTAAAAAGACTGTATATAAATAACTATTATTTACACTAGAGGAGCGAATACGTTGTATTATGCATTTCTTTGCCTGACTTGTCTGAAATCCAACTATTCATTACAAATAGACCCTTCTTACTCCTCTAGCAGCCTCTCTTCGGTCTCTTCTTCCAGAGGCCAAGGAACGAAGAGATTGAACTATTTTCACGGTAACAGAAAGAAGGAATAGTCACCAGAAAGCTCTGCAAGTTCAATTCAAACTTGCTAACGTTAGCCTATTAATTTTATCATTGGCTTGTGTGATCAGCAATCTGAACATAGATATAGAAACATCAGCCCCTTTATTGACAATACGAACAATCTGAACATTGCAAGAGTTCTATAAGTTAAAGGAAGAGTTTGTATATAAAAAAGTTAAAAATACTAGTTGACAAGATAATAAAAAACCATTGTATTACGGAACATGTTTATAAAAGGTTATACGAGCCCTCTTGTTACAATGATGTCAATAACCACAAGCCTAGTGCTGCGCAAAGAGCATCAAATGAATAGATCAGCACATGTAGTAACAATACTAATCTGAATACATTCATTTAGACAGTCGATGATGATAATACTGTCAAACTCATTAGCTTTAATCCATTAAGCAGTATTGACAGATGGGGATAAAATGGGAGAAAGGTGTATGCCTGAGCCTTCTACCACAAGGAGAGGCACAGATCAGCAAGGATTCTGAAGCAACCCTTCATGGACATGCACCTAATGGCTTCATTCCATGAGATTCCTTTAACTAACTGTGGTGATCATGTCACGTAGCCAATGTAAGTCTATACAGATATGTGTACTCTTTACCTTCAGCCTTGTACTAATGCTAATAAACAGCACTTATGGAGCACAAGGCAAGGGCAAGAATGAACCAGACTTCTAACGAATCATTGTTAGCTTCGACAAAGAAGAAGCTAAAAGAGAACATATAAGCATCAATTATCAAGAAAAGAATGACTATGTTAAGTTGCCAAAGGCATAAGAAAAGGCTCAATTGACATGCAATTAAAGTTGAGCATGAGTTGCTTCTTGAGGGCAAGTTTCAAGTTTTAAATACAAACAAGAGATCATCTAACGATATTTGCAAGCTTTTCTTTTTGTGTATAACCACTTATCTCGCTTTTGAGTTGGAGAGAGAAAAAGGAAGAATGTCATGATAATGCCAGCGCTAATATCCTTTTCTATTCAAATTACTTTTTCCCTTCTATCTCTTTCAAAAATATCAAGCAAAGTATGGCTATGGCTCTCTTATCAATACTTTAATAACTTTAAGGGAAGTGTGGCGTAACGGGAGTGGTTGTCTTTTATCTTTGACTTTCTTCTAACATATGTATAGTTCTCCCTTAATCGCTTCAAGAAAAGGAATCTCTCGGAATAACCAACAATCGTCTCCAGTGGTCAGTTTCTCCTAATTCGCATGCCTTATCCTAATAATTTCAACTCTTAATTGCTTCTTCCCTTGGTGATCCTATGGTCTGGCTCTCTATTCTTTTTTCCTGCTAACTTTTTGCCATTTTATGCCCTCTTTGTATTCCCATCATACGTCTGTATGTTTCCGTAGGTTGATGCTGTTCGCTAGGTAAGCTTTTAGGAAGTACTGGAGCAAAGGGAAAAATGGTTCTTAAAGGCAATACAGGGAAGGTTAAAACTGGTTCTGGTTTCGCCAGCTAGGTCTGGGTGCCCAGTCTAGAAGAACGAATTGAGAGCTTATTCTGGATCGGCATTGTATCCGTGCTGGTGACCATCAAACAGAAGGCATACTGTGGCCAATGTCCGGCGAGATTTACACTGGAGCCATAAATGGTTCCCCCTCCCCGCTTTGGGGCCATGAAAGGTCCTAAAGCCTTTCTAGGGCCATAAACGACCCTGGTTCCGAGCTTTAGACCATGTACGTTCTTTAGCTCTAATCTTCAGCCATGCACGATTGGGGATCCCCTCGCTTGCCACGTATGTATTCTGATTGGAAAAACTCAAACACAGGCAGTGTGATCTTCCTTAATACATCCGTGACAGCAACTTTGTTGCTGAAAAGAGTAACGCTCTTTTTCTTCGGAGTATCAATTTCACTAAATCGGAAAAATTGTCCATTTTTGGTCCAATCGGATAGTTTTGTTATGCTATTTAAATGTCTAAAAAGGAGGAAGGGGGAGAACTATTATTTTTATTAATATTATGTCATATTACCTTGGATTTGATTTATCTACGCAACAGCTAAAGTGTACAGTTATCAATGATGCTCACGACATTGTCCTTGAAGAAGCTGTCAATTTTGATAAAGATCTGCCCGAATTTAATACAACTCACGGTGCAATTGTAAACGGCGACAATGTGACATCGCCAACATTAATGTGGGTAAAGGCACTTGACATCTTGCTTAACAAATTAAAATCTTTCCCTCATGTGAATTCCATTCATGGCATTTCTGGCGCTGGTCAGGTAAATTAACTCACTCCATCACGTTAATCAGAAAGATTAATAGATAGCATAAATATTAGCAACACGGAAGTGTTTATTGGAAGGAACAAGGCCTAAAAGCGTTAGAAGAACTTGATTCTAAGAAATCGCTATTTGAGCAACTACAACATGCCTTTGCTATCGAGCAATCACCCATTTGGCAAGATGCTAGTACAACTGCTGAATGTCGTGCTCTTGAAGAAAGCGTTGGTGGTCCCGAGGCTTTAGCTAAACTCACAGGATCAAAAGCTTATGAGAGATTTACAGGAAATCAAATTGCAAAGGTATGGTTTTTATATGCTTATAATTGGGATTCTCTCTTATTTTACCTTTTTAGATATACCACAACAACAAGACAGCTTACAAGGAAACAATGCGTATAAATTTAGTCAGTTCATTTGTCGCAACTTTATTGCTGGGCAAATTCTGCCCCGTGGATGCTGCCGAAGGATCCGGCACTAATATGATGAACATCCAGACTCACAAGTGGGAAAAATCCTTGCTAGAGAAATGCGGTGGTGACGAGCTTCTGGAGAAGTTACATGATGAGCCTGTTGAAGGTGGAACCACGCTAGGGAAAATCAGCGAGTATTATGTAAAGAGATATGGATTCTCTGATGGTAAGTTACATCACTCACTATTCATAATTGAACTTGCATGACATATCGTTTCATAGAGTGCTGCATTATGCCTTTTACAGGTGATAACTCTGCCACGCTCGTATCCATGAATTTAGTTCAAGGCGACTGTGTTGTCTCTCTCGGAACTTCGGACACAGTCTTGGTTTACCTCAAAAAGGAAAGCGCAGAGCCTACAACCGAAACTCACCTTATGGCCCATCCCACAGATATTGATGGATATATGGGAATGCTTTGTTACAAAAATGGATCATTAGCCAGACAATACATTCGAGATTCTTATGCAGAAAAAGACTGGGAAAAGTTTAATCAGTATCTGATCGAGAAGGAAGCTGTATTGAACGATTACTTTGGGTTTTATTATTGGATGCAGGAAATCATTCCATTTGCTAAAGGAATTTATCGCTTTAAGGATAAGCAGGCTGTAGAAGAATTTGACGACCCTTTTATCAATGTCAAAGCAATTGTTGAATCTCAGTTCATGTCAATGAAAATTCGATTACAAAGTATGGGTGGAGAAACGCAACGTATACTGGCATCAGGAGGCGCTGCAGCAAATAAAGCAATCCTAAAGATTCTGTCTGATGTGTTTGGCTTGCCTGTATACAAGCAAAAGGGAATGAATGGTGCAAGTTTAGGAGGTGCGTTGTTGGCAAAGTATGGGTGTAAAAGATACTCTTCCTTTGTAGAAATGATGAAAGAACATCCTCCAGAAGGCTTGGAGCTAGTCTGTAAACCAGATTTAAAGAGAACCAAGTTATATGATGCCCATATAAAGGAATTCATTGAACTTGAACATCAAATAGTAAAATAGATGTAAATAAACAAAAGCTAAAACATACATACGCTTCTCTACTACACTACTATTTCGTTGTGTCAAATAGATTCAAGCTAAAGAAAAGCGCAGCTTCTCTATTCTTTCAATCAATAATCGGTCATACATATGATCAACTCCCTTTTCTGGCTGTCTGTCATTCATTACATCATCTATCTTTGCTCCTACCTTTTCATATTGCTTATATTCAGTAGGAAGACCATTTATGTTTGATTCTGGCTATGTAAATTTCATTTGCCCATGCCTTCATTTGTACACTAGTGTAAGAAGACTTTCTTTCTAAATATGGAAGCGAATTGATTCGTTATACGCTCAAAATATCTCGTATAGAAACGCTGTTGCCAATAAAGGCATCCAGTATTGTAATCCTGCATTTGGAATATCGCAAAGGGCTGTTTTAACGCTATTTGGTATTCATTCAACAAAATGAAATGAATTATTTTGCTAAACAGACAAAGCCTCTCCTTCATTAGCTAAAATTTGGCCCCGACATATAGTTGCAACGGTTAGTTAACAGCCTTGTTGAAGACTAGCAGTAGCCATCATACTACGAGCATCAAACACGTCCTATAACCTTAGAAACGCCTATATTACATTACCGTTTCAAACGAAGTGAAGTAAGAGGCGCAAAACCTACCATGAAGAAATAGAGAGGAGGAAATGGGACCATGTTGATACAATGTTTACACAGGTCCAAGTTGAGTGGATTAGGGAAACGAAGACTAGTGAATACACCTGACATAACAGTAGAGACACGCTGGTTCAATTCTAGTTAGCCAGGGTTGATTAATCTAAGCGTGCAGAAACAGGTGATATCAAGGGCTTCATTATCAATACAGAAAGTAGCATCATTGTTTTTGACTATCTGATGGAGAAATAGCAGTTTGGGAAAAGGTAAAACAGAATGTGTGCTTATAATTCGATCAGGATATTCTTCACGAATCTTGAGAAACAGCAGGGAGCCAAGCTCAGAGCAAGTACCGCCTCTGAGTGAGTGACATAATTAAAAACCTTGTTAACAATCGGCAAGCTCAGCTTCTTTACGCACTACATTTATAACCTGCTGAACTAATTCAGAGTCCTTTATGTAGTATCCCTTTCCAATGAACTGTCTGCTCCTGATTAAGCGTTAATAAAGTTGCCCGGTCGAGATAGCCTACCATATGCGCTTGAGCGAGCATTATTTAGAGCACCTGGCTCAAGATCACCGAGGGTAGCCCTACAATGAAAAAAATATAGTTAAAGAAGGAATACACGAGCTATACACCATATTTTTTCGTAAAGTTTTCATTATAAAATACATCTATACGCTCAAGTTGTAAACTGTTACTGCCGCAACAGTCTCCTTCTTCGCTGATGTTATGCTTTTTTGAAATTGCTTCCCAGAACTCTTAACCGATCTATCAGAAAGATTGCTTAATAATCTGAATATTCGTTTACGGGTCTTTCTCTTACTGTTTCCTTGTCAGATTCTCACATTGCCCGGCTTGGATACGGACTACTTCTCTCGTATATATCAAAATGCTGTAATAAAGGAAAAGAAAACTCGCCAGGTAATGAACTTTAACAGCATTTACTGTGTCTTTAAGAGAAAGTGCCTCTAGTAACATCTGATACATTATTTACATGTATTATATTAACTGAACTTGATACAATATGCTTATATTATACCTTTTGAAGCCTTTATGAGACATTTATCATCTTTTTTCATGTATTTTATAAGTGCATGATCAGCTGTACATTGCATTGCTCAGCCCCCTGTTAAGACTTTTACGAAATAAGAAAGCAGACCTATACAATGGCTTATTCTCTTGTATAGCGGTGTCGGCCATGCCTATATCCGAGCGCCACTGGGCATAACGCGCTTTTAGGATAATACAAGGATTCTTATTGCTGACAAAACTCTATAGTTGATATTAAGCGCATAGATGAATAATTCTCTCCAAAGATAGGTTCGAAATTGAAGCAAATATGGGCCCGTCGCTGTCAAAGCTCATGACATTCACAAACTATCAGCAATCCTGCAAATAAATGTAAACCATTTGCTTTCACAAAATTCAGCTCACGCTTTCATGCTGGGTGATTCGCTTTCCAAATTAAGTGCCATAATTTTTTTTCTGGTTCAAAAAAGTTCAAATTGATTTTCCTCATTCAAATAATTAACAATGCCTCGTTCTCCCGAAAGACGAAGGAATCGATCGATTAGCAATGAAAGACATCGAAGAGAAAGTAGAAAAAGGTGAGCCTGAGGAATATAATCCAAAGCATTCTTCTAATCTCTTATAAAAAGACATCGCAGTCGTTCACCAGATGAAAGATCAAGACATAAACACAAGTCAAAAAAACACAGTAAAAAAGAGAAACGGCGCCGAAACTATTCAAGTGAGAGTTCAGAGGAAGATGATCCTCATAAGCCTTCCTTGGAAACTCTTGGTTACTCCAATGTAAACAACCCTTTTAATGACGTCAACCTTGAATCAAAGTTTGTGTGGAGCAAAAAGAAGCAAAGGGATAAGAAGGAGCTGGGACTCTCTGAGGAAGAAATCAGAAGACGCGAAAGAGAACGAAAAAGAGAAGCGGATGAAGAACTGGCCAAATTGAATAAGCGTAGAGCTGAGCGAGAAAGGGAAATGGAGTTACGTGAGCAAGAACGTACTAGAAAACAGCGCGAAGCAGAACTCGCGCAAATGGGTGAATGGGAATTAAAAGAAGAAGAGGTAATTGAAGGCATTTTTACAGTAAGATATGATTATATCCTGATAAACTTTTCTCTTTTAGTTCCATTTGGAACAAGCCAAGAAGAGAGCAGAGATTCGTATCAAAGAAGGCAGAGCAAAACCCATAGACTTGCTAGCAATGAATCTACGTTTAGCTTATGAGCCAGATAAGGTAGAGGAAGATGTAGACTTGGAAGTTGATTTGGATGAGCCGTATACCATTTTTGAGGTACTTTCAGGAACTTTTATACGGTTTAAAAACCTAACCTATTTTATAGAATTTATCTTTGGAAGAAACAGACGAATTACACAAAGATATTCAAATGCACTTAAAGTTGGAAAAGAATGAAAAACTATTACTATTCTGGCGCGCGATGATCGTTGTTGCAGAAGATTGTCTGTCGAAAATGCGAGAAAATGAGCAACGTATGGCCTCTGGTGCTGTGCCACTAGCTGTAAATCAAGACATCCAGCGCATATTATCTGGAAAGACAGTTTCTCAACTATCTGCACTGCAACAACAAATTATTCAAAAATTAGAATCTAACGAACCTATTGATGTTGAATATTGGGAAAATCTTTTAAAAGAGCTTGTTGTCTATAAAGCAAAGGCAAGGTTGAATGATATGCATCAGGAAATCCTAGCAGCTCGCTTACAGCAGCTGCGTGAAAGACAAAGAGAAGAGGCTCAAAAGGTACAAGAGGAACTAGAGCGTGTGTTGGCTATGCAAGAAACCGAAGTACATGGACAAGGTGTTGGGCCTGGAGAAGGTATACCTTCAGAGCCTGTTGACGAAGAGCTGACAGAAGCACAAGACCAAGCGTTTATCAAAAAGGATGATATAAAAAAGAAACTGTCAGACAGTTTGTTGTTGGAGGAATATGACCGCTCAATGAGCCCGGAGCCCATAGTTAAATTGAGCAAGGAAGATCAAGAACTTGAAGTCGTAGACCCTGTAGATGATTTGAAAGAACTGGTAAATCCATCGTTATGCACTCAAGGTTTATTATATTAACATATGAATAATAGATGGAAAGGCGACGTGCAGTACTTTCAAGTAAAATTATCACTAGAAAACCCAAGATAGAAGTAGAAGAAGAGGTGAAGGAAGAGCAAAACCAAGATGAATCTATTGCATCTACTGTACTGTTTGAGCAGGAAGCAGCAAAAGGTGTTGATGAAGATGAAGACCTGTTCAATATTGAAGCCGAAATTGCACAGCAAGTAAGTATATAAATCATCATTTGACATTTCTCCTAAGCAATTGCATAGACATATAATTGGCAAGATAAATATCGACCTCGCAAGCCGCGATACTTCAACCGAGTGCATACAGGTTATGAATGGAACAAGTACAACCAAACACACTACGATCTTGACAATCCCCCACCAAAAGTTGTACAAGGATACAAATTTAACATTTTTTATCCTGATCTTATTGACAAGTCAAAAGCACCAACATACTTTATTGAAAAAGATCCAGAATCTCCAGATACAGTTTTGATTCGATTCCATGCAGGGCCACCATATGAAGACATTGCTTTTCGTATTGTAAATAGGGAATGGGAATACTCACATAAAAAAGGATTTAGATGTAGCTTTGATAGAGGTGTATTAAGTCTTTGGTTCCACTTCAAGAGACAATTTTACAGAAAATAAAGATATTCTCTACCTTAAACCACAATCATTCTTTTTTGTCAATGGCGTTTTAGTATACGATTAAACAAATATTTCATTAAAGAAAATAAAATATTTGTTTAATCGTATATTCTAACGTGAGTAGCGTTGACTTTATTTGAATATAAAAAGTCGAGATGTAAGGCATAGCTTTCGATATAACTTTTTGGCTTTCAGTAAATAAAATTTATTAATCTAAGGCAGTAATTCACATCAGTTTGTATTATATATTATTAATATGATATAGAAATACTTATGATATGATTTGTAGGGACATTGCGTAGCTCTTTAAGATCTCCTTTAATTAATTGTGAAGACAATATAAAACATAAAGTCATTAAATTATCGAAATCATAAAGAAAATCCAGATGTTTTCATGAAACTAATCAGCTACATTGTTACGACTCTTATTTCCCCAAGTAGCCTAGTAGCCATAGTTCTATGCAGAAAACGATTGCCATCATTCCAGCTTTGAGAACCAACCAATGGCATCATCTGAAAAGATTGATAACGACAACTCACGTGACTATCACATGGTTATCACGTGCTTTTTTGAGTTATTATATTTTTATAACTTAACCTTTCAACAAGTGGTTCCATGGTGTAATGGTTATCATATCGGTCTTTGAATCCGGTGATCCGAGTTCGATTCTCGGTGGGACCTTCCATTTTATTGGATCAAAAAACTCATTTTGGGGTGCGCATAGGGGTTCTGCTGTTGCCAGAGTATAATATTTATACTGTTGTAACAATAGCGGAGTTGAAACAGATGAACTTCACGACTTGTATGAAGTTCAAACAAATGAATTTTAAATTATTTTAGTATAAATACAGTCAATACTTTAAAATAAAATCATCTAGTTATTGTGTCAGATTTGGTACTTTTGCACCACCTAGGGAGCATTAGTACTCCGTCAGTCACGACTGACTGTACCTAAATATACAATCTTACAGTATAAATACTCTTGCTCGTTGCGTCCTTCTTGGACAAGACATTGAATATTTGAATAAAACTACCCCTCTATCCTTATATTCTTTCACCTCTCTTATAAATCCTTTCTTTAAAAGATTTATAATCCTTTTTTTATTTTATTTTATTTTCATTATTTACTTAAAATCCTTTCTGATCTAGTATCAACCTCATACTACTGATCGGAATAATCCTTGTACCTTTTTATTTTTAACCAATTACTTTATTTTTATACTTTATAACTCAATTGCTTATTTGATCTGTTATAGATCTGGTGGTCACTATCATAAACGACTTTATAACTCAAAACTTGCACTCTAACCTTATCCAAACAAATAACCAATTCTACATTATCACCTAGTTATTAGTTAGCTATCAGTTAGTTCTGTTCTCAGTATAACTCACTCACCTTTATATTCTTTTATTTAAAGACTTTTACTTTCTAATACATTTTGTATTTTAAAGTACTTTTTATTATTCTTTTATACTTTTACTTTTCTTTTAACACTCTCAACTACCGATAAGCTTACCTTGAAGCCTCGTATCAGTAGGATTCACTTTTATCTTTACTTTTACTCTTATATAACGCAAGTTATTTCTTTTGATCTATTAAGATCTGGTGGTCACGCGACAGAAACTCTTATACAACTCAAATTATATTCAAGCCTTTACCCAAACCTAACCATTTTACACTGTTGATATCCTTTTTGGTATCTTATACTCTGCATGTCCAATGCAAGTTTTAATGGTTTATGATTTATGATTTATGATTTATCATATATCATATATCATTTATTCACTGGACTCTATTTAGTTCTTTTTGGGACCCGAAAACAAATGTTTTTGGGATGTCTTTGGGATGTAATTGGGAGTAATGTATACCTGTCGAATACGAAGTATCAATTAAAAAGAATAAAGACTAGAATTAACCAGACTAAAAGATATATATCGATTGACTTTATTAAAGACGAGTATTTATACTAAATGTGAGACACTCTTCAACTGAGATCGTAAAACTTTTCATAGAGGCTTATGAATGACAATTGAGGCAATAAGAGAGTTAGGACAAATCGGGTGTCTTTGATAAGACAATGATCCCTAATAACAATGATGGATCAGAGTTATTGGATACGCGTACCTTAAAATACAGTTCCTGGTAATTAGCTTAAATAATGACCCACACAGTTGTTTCAAAGTAGCAAGCTGAAATCGAATAATTGCCAGTTATTGTTTCATATGTGGTTAATAGTTGATCCACTAAGTATGAATACAACAATACCAAAAACACGGACCTATACGCGTTCTTACTGGTTTTTTAACGTGTGATTCACTCTGTTAACCATTGCTTATTGGCTTCTTTCCTTAGATGATGAGCTTGCCATTGGTGTCTTTTTTTTAGATTTATAGCATCTTTAATATAGATGGGGCTTTATTATTGGCACATATACTTCTTTAGATCTTTTATAATTGACTTATTGGGATACTTCTTTACCAATTATTATTGGTGGAAAAAGAATGATATTTGTTTTATAAAATACGGTTTTTATTATATTGCAGTAAGAAATAAAAGTAACAAATGTAAACAGCAAAGGAGAGACTTTAAAGACTTCATTTGAGGGGGATATACATGTTAGTACTTACCACAGTAGCCCTACTAAACGATATAACCTTTCTTTATAGACCGTGTAGCAGCTATTATTCATCAGCAAGTATTTTACACTATAAGTTAATAAAAAAAAAAAAAGATTGGTTAGTCAAGATGATCCTTTTAGAATAAAGAATATCTTTTACCTTTTATTTGAATAGTACGATAGCATCTTAGAAAAATAAAAGTAGACTATATAAAAAAGAATTGTTGGCAACAGTATTTAAAAGGAAGCATGATGTTTTTACCTTTCGCAAGCTAATACCATACAACAGTCTATTCAA